TCGCTGGGGCCGCCGCCAATGCTCGAGGCCGGGGATGCAGGCCTAGTGAAGAAGCGATCCAGCACTGAAGGCTGGGGGTCTGGAGGAGGCCACATGGGCGGCTTCTAGCACCCGATCTTTCCCATGGGAGATACTTGGATATGTCACGACCTGCGAGAGGGCTCAGAGGAGCTCAGAATTCATGCGTCCTCCATCTTGGACCGTCGCGCATGCGCCGAGTTGTCCAGTTTATAGGTTACATTAAATGTGGAAAAAGTTCTGAAATTATTTATCTTTGTCTAATTTTTTTACATCATAGAAGCCTGAAATTTTAACAGGGGTGTGTAAACTTTTTATATCCTCTGTATGAATGCTAATTCACCTTGCACTGCTATATGGTAAATGTCTGCGAGCAATATCCATTTGTACAATCGTCCATGCCATGTATGAATGCTAATTCACCCTGCACTGCTATATGGTAATCTATACTGCTTTTAAAATCCACCTCTAACTGAAGCTGATTCATAGCTATCAATGTTCTTATTGGTAATTCTCACTGCTTCCAAAATCTTTAACTCTGTCCATATTGCTATGGTGTATATTTTGCTCTTATTGTCTAACCCAAATTTATGAGCTGATCCTAATCTTTACAACTCTGCTCTCCTGCTCTCTTGTTGTCTCTGGTAGTCCTCCTTTGGTGTGAGACATTTGCCTTCTAGCCATGTGTCTGTTCTTTGCATTTCTAACTGATTAATTAGCAATATCCCCACCTAACTCAGTATAAATTTAGGCCTTCCTTAGCGAAGGCACAGCCAGGGGTAGCATTGGCAACTATCATCTTGGATAAAGTATTGAGCAATGCACTTTGGCTCTGCACTTCAGCTAGAGCACAAAGTGAGAAACCACAGCAGACAACTTCAAATGCTAATCAGACTACAGGTGAAATGTTTCCCCATCCAGCTCTTTCAGCTCTTAACAAGTCTGCTTCTTCATCTCACAACTCTGTAACATGCACTCCCTACTCATCCTTCTCACAGTTGTATTCTCTCTCTTCAAACTCTCTCTCCTTCGCCCCTCTTCTCCACTCCACAGCTTATATGTATCACCCTTATTCCTGTCTTCACCTTTTTACTGTACTCATCAACTCCTGCTAATTCTGAACCCACATACTAATAAAACCTCCAGGACACTGGGACCTGTCCCTCCATATAAGTCATACTCCCATATTACCTCTCTCACCCTTCTGCTTCTAACATCTGGAGACATTTCCCCAAATCCTGGACCGCCATCTTTTTCCTTAGGCCAACACACTCGGCATCCCCTATCCTCTAACATCAGCCGTAATCAACACAATCTGGTTATTATTCCTCTTCTTCCTAGAACCAGCTTCCCCTTTTCCTGTGCACTTTAGAATACCCTCTCTATCTGTAACAAACTCACCTCTGTCCATGACCTTTTTATCACAAACTCATTTAAACCTACTTGCAATTACAGAAACCTGGCTTCATGAATCTGACTTTCCCTCTCCTGCTGCCCTCTCCCTTGGTGGTCTCCTCTGGACTCACTCTTCCAGGCCTAGTGGACGGAAAGAAGGTGGAGTTAGAATCCTCCCAACCACTCAAAGCACTTTTCAGGTCCTTCATTCACCTTCTTCTCTGTCCCTCTCCTCATTTGAAGTTCACTATATTTGTCTATGCTCCAATTTCTTTAGGAATTGCTGTGATCTATCGGCCTCCTGGATCGGTATCAAGCTTCCTTGATGACTTCTCTGCCTGGCTGCCTTACTTTCTCTCTTCTGATATTCCCAAAATCATTCTTGGTGACTTCAAAATCCCTATTAATCTTAACACTCCTGCTACCTCTAAACTTCTGAGCCTAACTACGTCTTTTAACTTAAAACAATGGACAAATGCTTCTACTCACTCTAATGGTAACTGCCTTGACCTTGTACCTTCCTACCTATGCACTCCTTGCAACCTCAGCAACTTTCCTTTTTCTCTCTCTGATCACTCCCTTATTAGCTTTACTTTCTCCTTGGCTTCCTCCTCCTTGTCTTCCAACTACCAAACAGGTACCTGTAGAATCCTTTGTTATCTTAACCCTTCTCTTCTTTTTTTCAGCAACAGATTGTCTCTGACAAAATCTCAGCCCTGTCCTGCCACATCCTGGTCACTTCTGTCTACAACAGTTCACTGTCATCCACCATGGACACATTGGCCCCCCTCACTACACACAGAATTAGGCCCTGACCACTACAGCCCTGGCAAACAGACAATACCAGATGCTCAAAAAACATAGCCGTGCTCTTGAGCGTTTATGGCGTAAGACTAAGACCCAGCAAGACTTTGACCAATATAAATCTGCCCTTCAGAAATACAACTCCTGTCTCCACATTGCCAAACAGACCTATTTTATCGCTCTCATTAACACCCTCTCACGCAATCCCTGTCAACTCTTTTCTACCTTTAACTCTCTACTTCGTCCTTCTTTACCTCCACCCACTAACTCAATGCCCAGGAGATCGCTAATCGCTTCAAAAACAAGATTGATACAATTCGTGATGAGATCTCCAATGTACAGATATGTCCCTCACCCTACACTCCTTGTCCACCTGCACAATCTTTACTCCCTTTTTTTAACCCAGCTACTATAAAGGAGGTTGCTAAACGTTTTTCTAAAGCCCACCTAACTACCTGTCCCCTGTGAGCTTGTTCCATCGCAAATACTACAGTCACCCTCTGGCTCTATCCTTCACTCTTTAACTCATATCTTCAATCTCTCCCTTTCTATTGGCATCTTCTCCAACTCTCTAAAACATGCGCTAGTCACCTCCAAACTTAAAAAGGCCTCATTGGACCCCACCAATCTTAACAACCTAATACCCATATCCTTACTCCCTTTTGCCTCCAAACTCCTTGAACGTCTAGTCTACAACCGACTGAGCTGCCACCTTATTGAGAATAACCTTCTCGATCCCCTTCAGTCTGGATTTCGCCCACAACACTCAACAGAAACTGCTCTCCTAAAACTCACAAACGACTTGCTAACCACTAAAACCAATGGTCACTATTCTGTACCCTTACTCTTGGACCTCTCTGCTGCCTTGACAAAGTTGACCACCCCCTCCTCCTCAAAAAAACTCTATTTACTTGGTCTCTGTGACTGTATTCTCCGTTGATTCGAATCTTACCTATCTCACCGCACATTCAGTGTAACTTACAACTCTACTTCCTCTTCTGCTACTCCTCTTACTGTTGGAGTCCCCCAAGGTTCTGTCCTTGGACCTCTCCTATTCTCGATCTATACTTGTTCCTTGGGTCAGCTGATAGCTTCCCATGGTATCAAATACCATTTCTATGCTGATGACACACAAATCTATCTCTCTACTCCTCAGCTCACCCCTTCAGTTTCCTCACGTATCAACAATTTACTAACAGACATATCAAACTGGATGTCACACCACTTCCTAAAACTCAATCTATCCAAAACTGAGCTCATATTATTTCCTACCCAACGTGCCTCCTCCCCTGAATTCTTGGTCAGGATCAATAGCACCACTATCAACCCATCCCTCCATGCCAGGGTGCTAGGGGTAACCCTGGATTCTGAACTATCCTTTCAGGCCCAAATCCAATCCCTGTCCAAATCATGCCGCCTTAACCTCCACAACATCTCCAGAATACACCCTTTTTTAACCAATGATACCACAAAGCTCCTAATTCACTCCCTAGTTATCTCTCACCTCGACTACTGCAACTCCCTCCTCATTGGCTTTCCTTTACATAGGCTATCCCCCCTCCAGTCCATCATTGAATACCGCTACCAGGCTCATTTACCTTACCAACTATTCATTGTTTGCTAACCCTCACTGCCAATCCCTCCACTGGCTTCCACTCGCCCAACTAATAAAATTTAAAATGCTAACAACAACTTACGAAGCCATTCACAACTCTGCCCCCAGCTACGTCACCAACCTGGTCTCAAAATATCAACCAAACCTTCGATCCTCCCAAGAGCTTCTGCTCTATAGTTCCCGTGTCACCTCCTCCCATGCTCACCTCCAGGACTTCTCCAGAGCTTCTCCCATCCTATGGAACTCTCTGACCCAATCTGTCCGACTATCTCCTAATCTATCTACCTTTAGACGATCCCTGAAAACCTTTCTCTTTAAAGAAGCCTATCCTACTTCTAACTAGTAAACTGCCTTTTATTTTCTGCATCAGCTCATCCCCCACAGCTATTTCCTTTTGTATCACTCAACCCTTCCTTGTAGATTGTAAGCTCTAACGAGCAGGACCCTATGTTTCATCTTGTACCAAATTGTATTGTAACTGTAATGTCTACCTTCATTTTGTAAAGCACTGCGTAAACATTTAACGCTATATAAATCCTGTATAATAATAATAATAATATAACATACCGCCTTCAGTTTATTGGTTGTCTCATTATATCCCATTAGATTTTTGGCAGCAAATTCCATGAAATAAGGATTTAGGATCCTGATGTTCTTAGGCTTCACATTCCAAATCATGGGAGGATCCCTCCAGAAGCCCTTTTTTAGCTACAAACATTTACACAAAAGGGTTCAGTAATGATATTACACTGTGTCTGTGTTGTCAATAAATTCAGCATCTAAGTTATCTGAGGTAATTCATGTGCATTTTAAACATCTAAAAGCTATAGTTTGTATGTGGCCCCATCTAATATACTCGTTTCTTAAAGTGTACTTTCACTTTGGCTGCCAAATTGGGATAACACCTATTTTGTATTTGCTACAGGTTCTCATTCACATAGCATAATGCAAATAAATTAAACATTGCTGCTTAAATGCTTGCTTTCTGAAAGTAAAGATTACCATATTTTTCGCTCCATAAGACGCACTTCTTTCCCCCCAAAAAAGGGGGGAAAAGGTCAGTGCGTCTTATGGAGCGGCCGGTCCGGTATTTCCGCCGCCGCCGCCACTGTGTCAGAATACCGGGCCGGCCGCTCAGCTCTTCTCTGCAGCAGGACCTTACCTGTTCCTCTGTTCAGCGCTGTACAGTGATCCCGCACCGGCATCTTTAGTGTGGGCACCCGGCTGTGACACATGACAGGTCCCAGAAGACGCCGGCCCGTTCACAAAGCACAGTGCTTCTCGCGCATGCGCAGTGGGCACACCGCTGTCAGCCGGGTGCCCACACTAAAGGGAGGACAACTCCGCAGAAGTGGGAGCGGGTGCCTGTCAAATTCAGGTACCTACTCTCCCTCTCTCCCCAAAGGTCTGCAGTCTCTTGGTCATCCCCTGTACTGTCTGCAGTCTCTGGTCATCCCCTGTACTGTCTGCAGTCTCTGGTCATCCCCTATACTGGCTGTTGTCTCTGGAACATCCCCTATACTGTCTGCAGTCTCTGGTCATCCTTTGTACTGTGTTTGCAGTGTCTCGCCATCTCCTGTACTGTGTCCGCAGTCTCTGGTCATCCCCTGTACTGTGTCTGCAGTCTCTGGTCATCCCCTGTACTGTCTGCAGTCTCTGGTCATCCCCTGTGCTGTCTGCAGTCTCTTGGTCATCCCCTGTACTATCTGCAGTCTCTGGTCATCCTTTGTACTGTGTTTGCAGTTTGCATCTCCTGTGTGTCGCCATCTCATCTCCTGTACTGTGTCCGCAGTCTCTGGTCATCTCCTGTACTGTGTCCGCAGTCTCTGGTCATTTTCTGTACTATGTGTGCAGTCCATTGGTTCAGAATATTTTTTTTCACCTCTAAAACCTAGGCGCTTATTATGGTCAGGTGCGTCTTATGGAGTGAAAAATACGGTAACTCAAAAAGTGAAAACTGAAAAAGGGGAAACTCAAAAAGTGATATTAAAGGCAATATTACAAAAAAAACAAAAAACAGCCCAACAACAAACATTTTATACTTACCTGCTCTGTGCAGTGATTTTGCACAGAGCAGCTCCGATCCTCCTCTTCTGGGGTTCCCTGCTGGAGCTGCTGGCCCCTCTCTCCTGCCAAGTGCCCCCTTAGTAATCAGCTTGTTATGGGGGCTCCCAAGTCACTGCCCTGTGTGTCCATTCAAAAACAGCTGCAGCTTGACACCACCTCTCTCTCATCATTGGCTCACTGGCTGTGATTGACAGCAGTGGGAGACCATGGCTCCTGCTGCTTTCTCAGCCAATAAGGAGAGAGAGTCCCCGGACAGCTGAGGTTGTCATGCACAGTGCTAGGTCAGGATGGGGCCCAAATAAATATTAGGAGGGCTGCTGCACACAGAAAATTTTTTTACCATCATACATAAAGGTAAAACAAACCTTCAGCCTTTACAGCCACTTTAGGGTGATTGTAAAGCTTCTATTTTTTACATTAAAATAACAAACAGGTTTTGCACAGAGCACTCTCAATCCCCCTCTTCTCAGGTCCTCTGTCAGCACTCTTGGCTCCTTCCCCCTTGCAGAGTGCACACGTGTCAGGAATGGACTCACCACTAGTGGTGCTGTGGCTCACTTGCTCTGTGGGCTGCAGTACCAGCTCCTACCAGAGGGTGCTTTCAGCAGCCAGGGTCTGACTCCTGCAATCAAGCCATCACCTGAGGCTGATTGCAGGAGGTCTATTTAAGCAGGACCAGGCCTGCAATCAGTGCCTTGGTGTTTGTTTCCCATGAGCCCCTGTACCTGGTATCCTGTGAATCTTCTGTTGCCGACCTCTGCATTGTTCCTGACCCTGCTGACCGGCTCCTGTTTAACCCCTGGCTTGCCTGACCATTCTTCTGCCTGATCCTCTGTACCGCGCTGCCCGTGAGTTACTGAACCTGGCTTGTGACCCTGACCATTTTCTGCTTGCTCCTCCGGTACCTCGCTCGCACGTTGCTTACCTGGCCTGACTGACTACGCCTTACGCTACCCAGACGATCCATCCATCCATCCTGCACGGATCTGTCCCTGTTACCAGGTCTGCCAGCCTCTTCACGTCAGGCTCCTTTCCCCGCACACCTCTGACGACGCTCTCTACCATTCGTACTCAGGGGTTGTGATCTGGTCTCAGTCTGCTCCAAGTCCATCCCCACCATCAGGGGCCCTGGTGAATAAGCAGATTGGGACTTAGACCACGTGCCCTGAGGAACCCCGTGCTGTGGGCTGCTAGAGACGCAGCCAGGTGGTGCTTAACAGTACCAAATGGCCTGCCTGACCATTCCACCTCTCCAGCCCTGACTACACCTGTGTTCCCACACATTTCTGGTCATACCCGGATCCCTAACAACACCATAGGAAGCTGCTTTCTATGTGGGCACTCATGCAGGCTCACACGTGACCCAGGCTGTTTGTGCATCTATTCAGACACACAGCCCGGCTTGGCCCTGCCTCCTGCTCACAGGTTTTGACTGACTTAGCCAAACTAGGGAGCGGGGAAAAGACCTGCTGCAGATGTGCACAGCGCTGGACTGAGATCGGGCTCAGGTGAGTTTTTTGGGGGAGCTGCTCTAAAAACTTTTACTTTTACAACCACTTTAAGGAGGTAGCTGGGGTGTTGTTTACCATAATTAACCCTAGCTGTACTGTACTGGCAGATCTCATTATAAGCTGTAAGCTAGATTGGAACATTACAAACATAACAAAGGGTTATGGATACCAAGCCCTGAATTTTGCCTTGTTTGTTAATGAGGGGAAATGCAATCTGTTCCGACTTTGTCACTGCACTTTCATTACATATAGTGAGGTTTTCTCTAAAAGTGGAAACTTACTTTAAAATGGTTGTAAACCCTTACATATACTTAGTGAAAGGACTATCGTCAGGTGATACAAAGACATGAAACAAATCCTCCTGCATAAATTGTACCTGTCTATCTGCAGTCTTCTCTTCTATACATCCATTTAAAGTGCTGAATTTATAAGTTTGTCTGAGAGTTTAGAAAAAGGGGCACACAGCTGAAGTTACTCTGTACAGCTCAGTGAAGAGAGTTCTGAGAACTGATTGGAAGGAAGAGACACACACCCCTTCACACAGCTCAAAGGAACAGAGCTGAGGCTGTCAATCTGCTGGGGGTCCTTTCCCTGTCACCATTTACAAAGCAGCAGGGAGAAATGGCGCTTAGTGCTTTTAATAGACATGTACACACTATAGAGCAGCAATGGGCAAACTACGGCCCGCGGCCGTATACGGCCCGGCGGACTTTTAATCCGGCCCGCGGAGTGTGATACATTGGCTGTCAGGATGTGTGTAGGTGGGGCAGCGTGACGAACGTGAGGGGAGCTAGGCTCCTCTCACAGTCCGCCCTGAAGACCGGAATGGCGCGGGAACACGGCGTGAGGAACGCGCGGAGCAAAGGTAAGTGAATTGACACGGGGGACTTGGCTTACTACTTGGGGGGGAATAGTACTGTAGGGGATGAAATACTGTATGAGGGATGAATTAATATGGGGGATGAATTAATATTGGGAATGAATTACTATAGGGGGGGTGAATTACTATGGGGGATGAATTACTATGGGGGATGAATTACTATATGGGGGATGAATTACTATGGGGGATGAATTACTATATGGGGGATGAATTACTATGGGGGATGAATTACTATATGGGGGATGAATTACTATGGGGGATGAATTACTATATGGGGGATTAATTACTATGCTTACTATGGGGGAATATTACTATACTTACTATGGATGACACATACACATCATTCATCTACTCTTGGTCCGGCCCCCGGTCCAATACAGTTGCAAGAAAAAGTATGTGAACCCCTTGGGATTACGTGGAGTTTTGCATGAATTGGACATAAAATGTGCTCTGAACGTCATCTAAGTCACAACAATAGAAGAACACAGTCTGCTGAACATAATACTACGCAAACATTAGATGTTGCCATGGTTTAATTGCACATAACATGTAAACATTCACAGTGCAGGAAGGAAAAAGTATGTGAACCTTTGGACTTAATAACTGGTTGACCTTCCTTTGGCAGCAATAACCTCAACCAAACGTTTCCTGTAGTTGCAGATCAGACCTGCACAACGATCTGGAGTAATTTGGACCACTCCTCTTCACAAAACTGTTTCAGTGTATGGCAATATTCTTGGGATGTCTGGTGTGAATCGCTCTCTTAAGGTCATGCCACAGCATTTCAATCGGGTTGAGGTTAGGACTCTGACTGGGCCACTCCAGAAGGCGTATTCTGTGCTGTTGCAGCCATTGTTTTGTTGAATTACTTTTATGCTTTGGGTTATTGTCCTGTTGCATCACCCATCCTCTGCGGAGCTTCAACAGATGGTCGTACGTTTTCCTGCAAAATGTCTTGATAAACTCTGGAATTCATTTTCCCATCAATGACAACAATCCGTCCAGGCCCTGAGGCAGCAAAGCAGCCCCAAACCATGATGCTCCCTCCGCCATGTTTTACAGTGGGGATGAGGTTTTGATGTTGGTGTGCTGTGCCTTTTTTTCTCCACACATAGTGTTGTGTGTTCTTCCCAAACAACTATCCACAGTATATTTTGCCAGTAGTGCTGTGGAACATCCAGGTGCTCTTTTGCAAACTTCAAACGTGCTGCAATATTCTTTTTGGACAGCAATGGCTTCCTCCGTGGTGTTCTCCCATGTACTCCATTCTTATTTAATGTTTTCCTTATTGTAGATGTGTCAACACAAATGTTAGCATGCCAGAGATTTCTATAGGGCTGACACTCTGGGATTCTTCTTTACCTCATGCAGCATTCTGCGCTGCTCTTGCAGTCATTTTTACAGGACGACCACGCCTAGGGAGAGTAGCAACAGTGCTAAACTTTCTCCATTTGTAGACAGTCTGTCTTACCGTGGACACCATGAACATCAAGGCTTTTGGAGATACTTTGTAACCCTTTCCAGCTTTATGCAAGTCAACAATTCTTGATAGTTCTTCTGAGAGCTCTTTTCTGCGAGGCATGGTTCACATCAGACAGTGCTTCTTGAAACCATTAAACCCAAAACAGGTGTGTGTTTTTTAGGACAGGACAGCTGTCAGCAACACATCCAATATCATCACACTGATTGGAGTCAAGGTTGGCTCACTCCTGGCTCCAATTAGCTCTGGGGAGAAGTCATTAAGCTAGGGCTAGGGCCTCATACATACTTTTTCCCCCCTGCACTGTGAATGTTTACATGTTATGTGCAATTAAACCATGGCAACATCTAATGTTTGTGTAGTATTATGTTCAGCAGACTGTGTTCTTCTATTGTTGTGACTTAGATGACGTTCAGAGCACATTTTATGCCCAATTCATGCAAAACTCCACGTAATCCCAAGGGGTTCACATACTTTTTCTTGCAACTGTATATGAACCCATTGCGGCCCTCAAGTCAAAAAGTTTGCCCCCACCCCTGCTATAGAGCAATGGTCTCCAAACTGTGGCCCTTTGACTGCCTCTATCCGGCCCTCGAAGTACTATTACTCCCACTGATACCAATAAGGAGGCACCATTTCTTCCACTGGCACAAACTATGGGGCAATTTACTTCCACTAACACCAATGATGGGGTACAATTCCTCCCACTGATATAAACAACTAGGTACTATTCCTTCAACTAATACCAAGGATGGGTACTATTCCTTCCTCTGATACCAATGATGGGGCACTGTTCCTCCACCTGACACCAATGATGGGGCACTATTCCTCCACCTGACACCAATGATGCAGTACTATCCTCCCACTGTCACCATTGATGGGTCACTATTCATTCCACTGATACCAATGATGCGGCACTATTCCTCCCACTAATACCAATGATGGGGCAATATTCCTCCCATTAATACCAATGATGGTGCCATTTTTTCCCACTAATACCAATGATGGGGCACTGTTCCTCCAACTAATACCAATAGCTGGACACTATTCCTCCTTCCACTGACTACAAGCACTATGTCATGTTTTTTACTCCTGACGTTCGGACATTTTCTACTCCCACTGGCCACTCCTGCCCTCCTAAAGTCAGAAGGACAGTAAACCGGCCCTTTGTTTAGGAGACCCCTGCTATAGAGGGATATGCTTTGTTCATATTTCATGTCTAAGGTTTATAACCACTTTAAGCCAATCATACAACCAATTTAACTCAAATAGAGAGATATGTTTTTTTTTATATTTCATATCTGAGGTTTGCAACCACTTTAAAAGGATGGCCATTAATTAGTATTTAACAGGGGTCCTGTTATGCAGTTACAAAAAACTGGCTAATAATGATGAGATATTGCATATGCTGCTTTGCTAATATATTGGATAGATATCTTTCATTGTACTAGATGGGGTAATGCTGTATACTTGTACTGTACTCATGGTAATCTGCTTGATACTGGAAGTACATAATATAATGTCACGCACCCGTTTTTCATCGTTTATTATGGTTTTCATCCACAGAAAATCAGTATTCTTAAATGGCACCAGTACCATTAAAGTATTTGCATTGTTGTCCAACTCGGGGTCAGAAAAAGCAGATTCTGGGTAAAAAAAGCGTAATGTTGTCTTGTTGCCAACGTCATTCTCATATTTGTGGACTGGAGCATCGTTCATCCTGTGAAGGAAATATGTGGATTGTAGAATAAGTCAAAAATATTTTGTAGTACTGGATGGGATTTTTGAAGATGTACATACAATACTTTCAGTTTAACCACTTGCCTACCGGGCGCTTATACCCCCTTCCTGTCCAGGCCAATTTTCAGCTTTCAGCACTGTTGCACTTTGACAATTGCGCAGTCATGCAACACTGTATCCATATGAAATTTTTAGCATTTATTTCATACAAACAGAGCTTTCTTTTGGTGGTATGTACTCGCTGCTGGGTGTTTTATTTTTTTGCGCAACAGAGCAATAAATTTGAAAAAAAAGTTTTTCTTTGTTTCTATTATAAAATTATGCAAACAGATAATTTTTCTCCTTCACTGATGTGCATTGATGAGGCTGCACTGATAGGCGGCACTGATGATGCTGCACTGATATGCAGCAATGATGGGCGCTGATAGGCGGCACGGATGGGCAGCACTGATAGGTGGCACTGCCTGCACTGTGTGGGCACTGACTGGTGGCACTGTTGGGCACTGATGGGTGGCACTGATGGGCACAGGTGGGTGGCACTGCTGGGCAGCACTGAAGGGGGGTGCTGGTGGGTGGCACTGCTGGGCACAGGTGGGTGGTACTGCTGGGCACAGGTGGGTGGCACTGTTGGGCACTGATCATCAGAGCACTGATCAACAGTGCCCTGATGATTGGTGCCGATCTGTCCTCTGACAATTGCTGGTTATCGGCAGCACTCTCCTCACGCTGTTACAATGTGATATCGCCAGGTGCTCGCCCCCGGGAGCGCGCGGGATGGCTGGTTCTGGGAGGACGTCATATGACTCCCTCCCAGGACTGGACAACTGCGCTGTAGCCGTCATTTAACTATAGCGCAGTTGCCAAGTGGTTAAAATTGTACGTTAAAGCGGAGCTCCACCCAAAAGGTGAAGTTCTGCATTAAGGCTTCATCCCCCGCTCCCCGTTAAGGATTGGCACCTTTGTGGAGCGGGTACCCGAATCTGACAGGTACCCGCTTCCACATCCACTGCGATCGTCTGGGCAATTGGAAGCAGAAGTTTTCTTCCCTCCCCGTAGTCTTCTGGGACACATGACAGGTCCCAGAAGTATATGGGACCAGTCAAAAAGCACATCAGTGAGCACCCAGCTGAGCACACAACAGTTTTTGTAGCTGCTGACTTTTATTTTTTTTTTTTAATTTTTACTGGACTTCTGCTTTAACCTTGAAAGCATTTCTTTATGAATACTTTCATGATTGTATATACATCTTTACATCAGACAACATGCGTGTTCATATGTATTTTGGGGCATGCTTGGTCAAATCTTTCCAATATCACAAAGCCAGCGCCAAAGGTTAAACGCCCACAGAAACTGAGGTTTGATCTGACATGCATTCTGACCCTGCTCCCCATGGCAGCCATATATACAGTTTTCCACTGTTCAGATACCTGGAGCAACTCAGTCATCAGCACATAGCTGCAGGTTTGTAGCAGGTTGATGTGCATACAGGAGCAAAAGAGGATATCCCTCGATATCCAGCCTGTGAAAAATACAACTCTGTCTTCCTTTATACCCAGCTTGCATTGGGAATTGTAGTGCAATGGTCTATAGCAGGCTTTCCTAACCTTTCCAATACTGAGGAACCTTTGAAATAACTTTCCGGCTAAAAATGACTATATCTACAACTCATGATTCATTAGGGTGATGGTCAGTGGGAAGAATGCTCCTTACACTTGTGGTCATTGGAAAGGATTACACCCTTACAGATAGCTAAAAAGATCAAGAGTGTTAGTGGGAACTTATCTGAGGAGCAAAAATTACTCATTGCTCAAGGAACCCCTAGCAAACTCTGGAGGAACCCTGGTTGAGAAACCCTGGTCTATAGATAGCCAAAGTACAGTTTCTTTCCCAAACTTCATTGTCCATGATTCGTTGCTGCCAACCATAAAGTTTCTTGAGCTCCTTCTGCTTGTCAGCACCCTCTGGTGAATGGAGGTGAGATAGTGTTAACCCATTCAGTTGAAGCCCATTGGTAGCACAGAGCGTACTGCAGCAGAGTGTTCTAAATCACTCTCTGTCTCTCACCAAAAAGCTGGCTAGATTTCCAACACTGATGTAGTAAAAAATAGATTCTGTGAAGGGGGGTGTATACATTGTATATAGACAGAAGATAACATGATGTCAGCATTTCACCATCTGTTTCTCTCTCCAAGTTGCAGACTGTACAGATCTCAGGGCGGTATCAGTTTGGGTGGGTCAGGCTACGTTGGAAATGCATGGCCCAGGAAGCAGACAGGAGGCCAGGTGATTCTGATCTCAGGGACAAACACAAGGTTCCTTTCTGCACCTGTACCACCTCCTTCTGAAATACAGAATAGCAACATGTCTCACCTTCCTGGGTGTCTCCATAGTATGCTCATTGCACACACCATTGCTGCCACTCTGAGCAAGTCACATGTAAGTGATTACTGAACTCCAGCACTTTGCTTCAAGTAGGTCTATATCCAGCAGCAAGAGCACTTTTTCAAGTTGGCTTTGTGACTGGGATTTGTCTAGCCCTGTTATGCAGAATTAGGGGTCAGCCTTTGACAATGAGAGTTTTCAAAATACTGCCACCTTTTGCACTTTGCTGAGGGCATTGTAACAATATGTATTTCAAGCCACAGGGAAATTATACATAATTTTGGTTTTGGGGAAGATTTTAGTGGTTTTTGGAATCTCACATTCTGCTACTTCATGGCAAAGGAAATTTAATGATTCCAAAAAAGCAGAAATCAGACTGTATCAACAACAAATCCGATTAATTTTTTACTGACTGGACTAACCTATTTCTGTATTTTGTACATTATTAGAAATGTATTATTGATTAGAGATGTAAGGTTGATTAGAGGATGATTGAATCTTCTAACTAATCTGCCTGCCCACTGGTCAGCAAATATTCCAAGCACTAGAGTAGAGGTTTGATCTCAGACTTGGAATGTTGGCTGTGCTAACTTGGAAGGTTTATTTGAATTGAAAGGGGGCAGGAGAATAGTGTTGCATGCATATGCTGTTGTCGCCACCTATCCATAGCAGAGAGGAAAAAGTATCCTAAACTGTCTAATCTATAATGTCATCTGCATGTATTATTACCAATATGTTTATCATCTTGCAATCATGCTGTATCATCTTGCAATCATGCTGTATTACCACTAAATATCTGCTCACTACTGTTACATAATTGATGTGCCAGTGCTGCAAGGTGAACATTTTACCCCACTAATCTCCCAGAACATAATTTTTTTTTTTTTTTTTTTTTTTTTTTTTTTTTTCTTTCGTCTTCCGTTTTCTTATTTATTACATCCTCTCTTTTTTCCATTTGGTTTCCTTTTACCCCCCAGTTAACATCCATGACTTTACACTATTCACCTGACAGCAATGGTCAATCACTGGTTAATTGGTTAATTGATCAATTAGACTCACGTTCCCTATATATTCACCCCTGTTCATCCACTTCCCCCTGCTTGAAAAAGGAGTGCACTTCCGCCTTCCACGGCCAGTGCATGCTCCGAAACGCGTCGCAGTGCACCCTGGGATCTGACGTCATCACGGCCACGCCGCCGCTACGTTCCAGCGTGCGTTCCATCCGGCTTTGAGGGAGGACGTGCATGAAGGCTGGCCTCACCACTGTTCCCCCTCCAGCCACCACGCTGTTCCAGCCAAGAGCTGACCTCCCCACATCGCAGAGAGATGACGGCTCTTCACCCGGGTTACCACCCCACCGTTAACTATTGTTAACCACGGTTTTTATGCTTATGATTACTTCACACATGTGAGTGTTTCTACATTTAGACTTGAATTAAAAGACTTATTGCACTTAGAGGCGCTTCTCTCCTTTTTCTCATCTACAGAAGTTGCTACAGCTTATTTGGAAGCCTTGCCCTCAGTGCCACACGGAATCCTACGCTCTTCATACAGTAGCCACTAATACCACCATCACCCATACTACCATTTCCCAGGACTTTGCAGTGTTTGCGCTGTTACAACCCTTCCTCATTTTGTCTAATCTATGTTCCCCAGGAGCACTGCTAGGCAACAGGTTCTAACTTTGTCACCATAAAAACAAACAGACTGAATACCCCTGTTTTTTAATTGTTTTCTTACCTGATTACTATGTCGTATGTATTAATTTGATCACCAAGAGAGCTGTTCTTTAGGCGGTATCCACTTCCAACCACAATACAACTCTTGCACTGCAACCTTTTAGACAGAAAACAAGGATTACTTGGCTGTATTTGACATGGACAAATTAGACCTTGTTTAAAAATGGTAGTAAACCCACTTTGTATAGTTTTACCTACAGATAAGCTTATATAAAGCTTACCTGTAGGTAAAATGAATATTTCCTAAACGTGCACTGTTTAGGAGATATTCAAGTTTTTTTTTGCAGCTGGTGCATACGTTCTGAAGAAACGACATACCCTTGCTGTTTCTTCAGAGCACTGTGCTGTGTTTTGAGACTCCCGTGCGCATGCGCAGGAGTGACATCATCGTGGCCCAGCTAGTCAGATGGCTGGAGCTCGCGAACCCAGAAGGAAGACCTGGTGAAGATGGAAGCCTCTATAGAGGTGACAGCACGCCGCTAGAGGGCTTCATTTTAAGGTAATGCGATGCATACTAGCACATTATGTCTTTAACTTGCAGGGGATTTTTTTTTTTTTTATAGGACGTGGTTTAAGAAGAGTTTGAGATTACAGCTGTCATGGACTTTGTTTCCCAGCTGCTTTTATTATGTTAAAGCAGAACTCCAGTTAAAACTAGCATAATCAAAATAAACAGCCCATTAAAAGATATGGCCAGCTTTATTCAACCAGCTTCCTCTGAGTCCAAATATTTTATAATTTTATTCACTTCTAATTATCCTGAACCTAGGACACAAAATGTGTAGGTTTTGTTACATATGTCAGTGTTGTATGGGTTTATAAAAAATGTATATATTTTAGATTCCAGATGTTTGGAAATTTGTTTTGGCACAAAGTTTGCAATTAACCTTCCTGGGAGGATGATAATTTACAGTAGGGCTGTCATGAATGGGTTAAAAAATATGATGACTTAATAAATAATTTAGGCATCAAAATAGTTTTTGCTAATAAAACAAATACACCCCAAACTCATCAATTGCAACTCATCAATTCAGAGTTAAGCTAAAATGATCGCCATAAAATTGTTATTTTATTACCTCTAGCTTGCAGGGAGATATTTGCTATGTGTTGTGCAATAGACTTGTACATTTTGTCATGTTACAACCAAAAACATAAATATATTTTATTGTGATTTTATGTGATTAGCCAACACAAGGTGGCACATAATTGTGAAGTGGAAAGAAAATGTTAAATGGTTTTCAAAATATTTTAACAAGTACATTTCTGAATAGTGTGGCATGCATTTGTATTCAGCCCCCCTGAGTCAATACTTTGTAAAACCACCTTTCACACCACCTGCAGCTGAAAGTCTTTTTGGGGATGTCTCTACCAGCTTTGCACATCTAGAGAGTGAAAGTTTTGCCCATTCATCTTTGCAAAATAGTTCAAGCTGTCAGATTGGATGGAGAGCGTCTGTGATCAGCAATTTTCAAGTCTTGCCAAAGATTCTCAATTGGATTTGGGTCTGCACTTTGATTGGCCCATTCTACCATTCCATTGTAGCTCTGACTGTATGTTTAGGGTCATTGTCCTGCTGGAAGGTGAACATCTGCCCCATTCTCAAGTCTTTTGCAGACTCTTAACAGGTTTTCTTCTAAGATTGTCCTGTATTTAGCTCCATCCATCTTCCCATCAACTCTGACCAGCTTCCCTGCTGAAGAAAAGCATGCCCACAGCATGCTGCTGCCACCACCATGTTTCACAGTGGGGATGGTGTGTTCAGGGTGATGTGCCGTGTTAGTTTTCAGCCACACATAGCGCTTTACTTTTAGGCCAAAAAATTCAATTTTGGTCTCATCTGAACAGAGCATCTTCTTCCACATGTTTGCTGTGTCCCCCACATGGCTTCTCGCAACTGCAAATGGGACTTCTTATGGCTTTCTTTCAACAATGGCTTTCTTCTTGCCACTGTTCCATAAAGGCCAGATTTGTGGAGTGCATGACTAATAGTTGTAGTGTGGACAGATTCTCCCACCTGAGCTGTGGATCTCTGCAGCTCCTCCAGAGAACTCTTGGCTGATTTTCTGATTAATGCTCTCCTTGCCTGTCCTGTCAGTTTAGGTGGACGGCCATGTCTTGGCAAGTTTGCAGTTGTGCCATACTTCTATTTTTGGATGATGGATTGAACAGTGCTCCGTGAGATGTTCAAAGCTTTGGATATTTTTTATAACCTAACCCTGTTTTAAACCTCTCCACAACTTTGTCCCTGGCCTGTCTGGTGTTCCTTGGCCTTCATGGTGCTGTTTGTTCACTAATGTTCTCTCTAACAAACCTCTGGGGGCTTCACAGAACAGTGTTTATACTGAGATTAAATTGCACACAAGTGGACTCTATTTAGCAATTAGGTAACTTCTAAAGGCAATTGGTTCCACTTGACAGGTTCTGTTTATGGCAACATCTGGCAACATCTGGTTGCCTCCATCCCATAGAGAATTGATGTTTTATAAATTTGTTATATGATTGTACAAATATTGAGTACTTTATTGTTAATTATACTATAATATATACTTCATATTGTATGTCCTGTGTAAACATTTGCATATGTTATTCTAAACTGTAAAAAGCTAAAATAGCAGCACATTTATTACTGTATTTGCAGACGGACTGCGTCACAGTAATAAATACAGGCTTAAAAAAATAAATCTGAAAGTGTTACTAAACCCATATCAGTAAAATCAGTCTATATATGCAGTAAAGCATGCTTTTATACTCACTGTGGAACCAAAGTGGTTAATCCTCTGCATTATGTAAAAAAAAGCTGTTTGCTCCTGACTTCTTAGATCCGCCCCTTTTTTTTCTACCATCCCCAATCCATCAGCTAATAGTACAGTGCTCTAGGAGTTACTCTGCACCTGCTCAGTTTTGGTGTGTATTGCTAAAGAGCCTTTTTTTCTTTGAGAGGGTGCATGTGGTCAGCCCAGGGCAAATCAGCAATGTCCAAACAGGGGGTGAGGGGTCATGCAGCCTCATAGGACCACTGGACACTTACAGAAAACACAAGGCTGCTTTATACTGCTGATGAGAAACGATATTTAGCAGTTTATATTTACTAAAATAATTGCATTTCCATGTTCTGTGTACTGTGGGAGACCAGATATAGTGAATGCATTGTCTTGGGTATAGTAAAACTTTAAGTCAGTGGGAAACATCACAGTGATTTTGAAATTGCACTGGTACGAGGATGCAAAAATTATCTTTTATTGTTCTAAAAAAAAACAAGGGTTTCACCGATACCAGTTTTATACTGGGGAATACGGGTATCGATAGTTTCTGTCAAGTACTTGCCGATACCTAGTACCAATACCTTTGCGGTGCAATATGAGCCCATACAAAATGGGCGCTGCTCCTGTGTGAACCCAGTATAGAAAGTGCAGCAATGGGCAAACATTTTATTTAAAAAATGTTAGAACAAATCACATGTTAAAAGTACATATCTTGCTTGTGAAATCTACATCTGCACGGTCATAGTGTTCCTGTCCCATGGGACCAGCCAATTATGGAAAACCACGGCCGTTTGCGGTGCTCACAGGGCTGAAGGAGATGTATAGGAAGTCCGCCCTCAAGCTGACATCACGTCCGCCCTATACCCACGTGTGGTCTGCAAGCTGGTTTACAGGGGTCCTGGAAATTCCTGCATCTCCTCCGGCCCTGTGAACACCGCAAGCGGTTTACACAGGAGCAATGTCAGAAACCGCATGCGTTTCGAACAGGAATTTCATCGCATTCCTGTTCGAGTCACTTGCAATTCTTTGCAGTGTGAGTTGAGCCCACTCATTTTTTATGGGCTCAACTTGCACTGCAAAAGTATCAGTATTGGGTAACGGAACACTTTGCACAAGAACGAATACTCGAGCAAATATTCGGTATCGGCACCAATACTATAACCAGTGTCAGTGCAACCCTAAAAGAAACCGCATAATACGTAATAATACGTGTATGATCAACTACCTAACATAAACATAATGCTATTCTTCCTTTCTACTGTGGCAGGAAAAAATATTTCTACAGTTGTGGGGAGTGGCAGTGCAGTACCAACCACATCACATATGGAAAAGGAGATGGGTCTAAGCATCAGCAGGACTGTGATTGTAAAAGTTCCTCACATGGAATTTGTCCCTGACATTGCATTTCCTCTATAGTGACACCTAAAAAGTGAAGTGTTGTAGGAATCTTTATTCAGGTGTCTGTGCCAGTACCAAACTGTAATCTTCAAATGCATAGGGGGCAAGACACTTGTGAAAAAAGGCTCTGCATATGTATAAATATACATTACCTTTCAAGCTCGATTGGGATGTGGTAATGATTTGTAGCAGCCAGCACCTGCATTATTTCATCTTCTGAAATAAAGTAGACTAGTTAGTTAAATAATTAGTTTTCCTACTGCTTTTACTGTACATTTGTGTCATGTTTAATCATTTGAGTACCAGCATGTAATACCCCTTCATTACCAGGTCGCTTTTCAGTTTTCAGCGCAGTGATAGTTTAACTGACAATTATTCTGTCATGCAACACTGTACCCAAATTAATTTTACATCATTTTTGGACAGATAAAGCTTACTTTAGGTAGTTTTTACTAACTGCTGTTTTGTTTATGTTTCATTATAAAAAAGAAAAAATACCACACATTTTGATAAAATCATGTTACCCTTTCTTGTTCATAAAATAAAAATACCAGAATAGTATTAAATCCCCAGAAATTAAGAAACATACTGCTTTTGAGGGTGTAAAACACGGAGCTTGCAAATAGTGCACTAGATACACTAAATGTATAGGTTTTAAGCAGAGGTAGGAGGAAATGAATGGTTAAAGTACTGGTCACATATAGTGGCAGGAGCTATAGCACTTGTAGCTGCTGACTTTATGTCTTCCCTTAGCCGGGTGAAGTTTCTCTTTAAGGCCATATGCCCACTGGATGTTTTGCTCATGTGCGTCAAATCCCTGCATTCTCAGGCTCCTGGAAGGCATAGATGCAAAGTCTAGCCCCACTGCCTGCAGCCCAGTCTGAAATATGCTGTGCCTGGACACTGTACTAATTGGTAATCTTGTTTATAGCCCACAGCTTTCAAGGACAAATGCCTGGAATGCAGAATACCTGTATATAGTATGGAACTATCCCTATCAGTTCTGTTCCTGCAACTGAAGGATCTTACACATCCCCACCAGCCATATATTGTACAAACACAACATTCAGTTTTTGCTTAATAACCATTACATATGTTTTTGGGCCATTGGAGGAAGCTAGAACACATAAAGGAGAGCTGTACGGACATTTCAAGAACATACAAACTCCATTCAGATAGTGTTAATGGTTATAAAAAAAAAATGAACCCAGTACTCAACATAGTACTAAGCAGCTGATTGCGTATCTGTTGAATTTTGTGATATAGGTCATATCATGCAGTATTTCAGGTTATTAAACATGAACAAAATCAGTGTTTTGTCACTGCTTACCGCTGTCCTTTGTACCGTACGGCAGGGAGTATTTGGACTGTTTTGTCACCCAGAAATAATCACTAAGCTGTAGAAAGACAGGGTGGTCGTTGGAATAACTGAAATATAACACATAATATTACATGAAAAGTTATTTATGGTTTCCATATAGATAGGTGTTGTTGTTCTGTTGGCATGGTATATTTATATTTTGCATACATTAACTCTCAGGAAGCTTGTAGTGAATATTAATCTGGTTAACAATACATCTGTTTACAACATGATAGGCTTCCATAGAGATGTATGGAAACTGGTAAATTATGAAAGATAATTTCAGTATTTGCACTTCTAGACTGCTAGTCTGTGCACACTGGGGTACCTAACTGGTCAACTTTATGAAAATCTACAAGAAGATTGTTAAAACCGTATGGATTTTCAAAAAGCCTTTTCTTTCTTGGACTGAATAGTTAGAATCTGACTGATGTTGCTGTAAATCTCTTACTGATGTTGCTGTAAATCTCTTAATGAGTAAAAAAATACAATGCAGCAGAATTGCAACTGGAAAAGTTGTCATAGGACTTAGAACATTAGATAAAAACAGTTAATCAAAAAAATCCATCTAGATAACTAAAAAGCTTGGTCAATTTTGCAACTCCTGCTTGCAGACTTGTTAGATAAACAAGTATATAAAGTGGGCGGAGTGAGGTTTACTACACCCAAATGGGGACTCAGAGTGAGCACTTGCTTGTCCCCCCCCCAAAAGTGGGCTGAAACTGCTGTTTAATCCATTCTGAGTCAGTGGTAATGAGCCTGTACTGGATTTCATCATCCCAATAACCTGTCACCTCACTCCTAGTGACATTGTTTCGTATGCTTCACTTGTACTCTTGTACATCAACTGTGCTTACTCTTCTCCTGAGGCCGTAGTCCATCTTCCGTGACTCCCAGGTTGCTTCCCTAGAATGCTCTGTGCTACAATGTCAAACCTAGTATTGGGGTTCTGACTGCTAGGGAAGGAGCCTATCAGGGCCTCACCTTTGCCAAGTCACCACTTCTTGATCAGCTGGCTGCTTATGCATTTGACACTAGTAATGTAATTAGTAGCAACAGCAGTATAGCCTCTTTCGAAAAGGTTTACTGCATGTTAGACATTTGTACTTCATCTTCTCTATCTCATCTTGACCCCTTTACTCAGCCCTGTTCTTGTGATATGCCATGCTTGCATTGTACCCCTTTAAGATTGTCCTAATGTGACTTCAGACCAGGTCAAATTGAATAACAATAAATATTCTTTACTGAAGTTGTTGAAAAATAATGGAAAGTTCACATGATATCCACTTCTGGATCAGTCGCTGGACTTTCGGTGGTTATACTGGAGTGAGTCCTGCAGTTGCAGACATCACCCCGGCAGGGGCGGACTGACAACTCATGGGGCCCCCGGGCAATAGGGGATCATGGGGCCCCTGTGTCCTTGCCCAAACTCAAAAAATCCTATGAAAAAGGTAACAGGGGCATCTCATGGGGCCCCCTACTGACCCTGGGCCCTCGGGCAGTACCCGAGTTTCCAAATGGTCAGTCTGCCTTGCACCCCAGTACTGTTTTTTAGAGCCGGTGGTCAGCTCTCTTGAATAGGCAGTTGGAGCAGCTAACTAGCCATGGGATGGGACATCCCTCTCTCCCATCCTACCAGGAGTCCTGAATGACTATCCAGCACGTCAAACAGAGCCGGAATCGGCTTTGATCGGCTCTCACTTATAGTAAACCAGAAGAGAAGACCTGACATTACTTCTCAGAAACTAATTTTATAAATTCTGAAAGCATTCAAAAACACAGATCTTGGTGTTTTTGAATGCTTCAAGTGCAGAGGAGAGAGATTTGGAGTCTAATTGATAAGATTGCGAAGACATTTTCTAGCAAAAAATATTGATTTTAAAATGTAAACAAAAAGTGCTAGAAATGGCCTGAAGCTGGAGTGGGTATCTTCAATACACATTCCTGAACATATTCTTCTAAGTGCTCCCTTTGATAGTTCACTAGTACCCCTAATTGCCCCTTGAGGTAGTCATACCTTTGTTAGGTAAGAATGTTTTTTTTAAATTGAAAGCATATCCCTTGAACCCAAACTGGGCTACCATAGAGGGTGGTTAAGCCTCAAGATGGCAATTGCTTCCTGCCTCAGTACTTGTTCCCTTGCCATGCATAGAACGACTCCTCACAGATTGCTGATCTCCTGTATTTTTGCACTTCTCAGGCACATGAACACCTGAGATTATAATGACTGCATGAAAACTTATTAACTGTTTGCCCCAGCAGAAGGCAGTACTTCCTAAAAAGTCCAGGAAAAGCTAGCCAGCAGAACTAACCTTCCTTCACAGGACCAATTCTGCAGGGCAACATAACTAAACAGTACAATGAATCCCCATTGCAATATACAGTGCTACAAGGAATACCAATAGGGCACAATAAAATAAAATAACAAACAGCTCTTACATCATGACAACACCTTCTGAAAGCACGTGCTTACAGGTGGATGAAGCAAATATCAAAGGATGTTTGTGGAAGCAGGGAGGAGACTGAAGATAAACAGAAGGTAGAGAGGACAGGAGGAAAACTTCTCTGTACGGTGAACCACACCTAGTCGTATAAAGTATTCTTCAGTAAGCTCAGACCTTTTTTCTGATTCAACATTCATAAAATTTTTAATAATGACTGTTTATTTCATACAGAAAATAGATTTTAGGGTTTAGTTTTACTCTACATACTTACTTGCTAATGACAGCCGATGCTCTAGAAGCCACATATCCTGGACTGCATGTCCCCGCGATATACTGATCTGACCTTTTGTGAAGTACAAACCAACAAGATCCATTAGATCTAATGTAAACAAAAACTGAGGGCAGTTTTCTAAGTCTGTGCCTTTGCCCTAGTGAATGTCATGTATCTGATAGTTAAATGGATATTGGGGCTTAAAGCCTAATTCTGGGATACAGGCTCCCCTCTTTCTCTTTTGAAATCCCTTCCTGCTTTCTTTTTTAATATACTTTTCCATATATCTTCAAGCTGGTCATGTAATGCACAGGGGCCTCTTAGTGTTTTCTTTTAGAGGTGAGGGATCCCAGATGATGGCAGAGAACAGAGCTGTCGTGATAACATCAGGACTGCTCTCTGCATCAATACAATGTGAGTGCAGGGTGCTGAGATGATGCCTGCACATGGGCAGTCCCATAATGCCCTGCACTCACTGGGCGTGCTCAGTCTCTTGGGTCATTCTACCTACAAGACTGCAGACATCCTGTGGTGAAATGGATTTAGGAGTCAGGCCTGAAGAGGAGGTGAGTATTGCACAGATTGGCTTTTTTTTATGCTAAAAAAAACTAAAAAAGTGTATGTGCGTGTATATAGGGGCCTTGGCTCATCCAGGAATCCACATTTCTGGAAGTGGTGGTGGGTGGTCCATACTGTTGCACTAAATGGTTTGTCACATAATGACACATTACAAGACTGAGGAATAATGCCACCCAAGTGGGTAGGTCTATAAACAGTCTGTGCTCTTAGAAGTAAGTTGAATGATGTTGGCTAACATGCAACCCAGAAACCTAGTGATAGCAAAATTGTAATAAAGGGGCAGCTCTTGACTGAAGATGAGTATTGCATCAAGCGCTGCTCACTATTTTTAATAATGCTGGCTTCTTGCATCTAAAACAGTGGAGCACTGTGGCCGTTGGTAGCAGAACTATAAACTCAGGAGGACTAAGTTTACAAAACTGGTAGGTTGTTATCTAGGAGCCCCAGGCTAAAAGTATCAGTTTTGTGTAAACTGACCATTTAAAGAAGGAGTTTAAAGTGGATCATGGGATCAGTTATGACACTAGCCATTTCATGGTTTAACAATTTGGTTGACAACACAAGCAAATGTGACAGCTATCATTCACGGCATGCCTTAAGCATAACTTTTTTTTTCGGGAAATGGGTAAAGTGATTGTAAAGCTATATTTTTTAAATTAAAAGAATAAACATGTTCTACTCATCTGCTCTGTGCAATAGTATTGCATAGAGCTGCCTCAAACCCCCTCTTCTGGGGTCTTCCACCGATGCTCTCCCCTCCTCTTCAGTATCTATTCCCATAGCAAGAGCTTACTATGAGGGCAGATGCGCAGGCTCACTTCCGAGTCGGACTCTGTGTATCCATTGACACACACAGTGCTGGCTCTTGCTGCTGTCACTGAACCTGTAAGGAGAGGTATAGAGCAGTGGATCACTGGATTGAGATTGGGCTCAGGTAAGTATTTAGCAGGGGCTGGGGAGAGCTGAGCATGGAAGGTTTTTAACCCTAATGCAGTAATTGTAACTACGTTAAATTGATGGGTTTAGTTCTGAAAACATTTACATTCAAGGTATACTGTGAATGCTAATAGTCACAGTTGTATGTGCTCTCAGTTAAACTATCAAGCCATCAAGTGACTGGTGTCATAAGTAATCTCATGTGCAGTACCATTGCAACTGTGGATCAAACAAAGGCTAAGGTGCTTGCTTCCTTGGCAGTAAAGGATAGGAGGATTTAGTTCTACTTTATATTGCCACACTACTGGCAGCAGTATGAGCAGTATGTTGTGATCATTAGAGTCTCATTAATGCTTGCTTTTTTTTTTTTTTTTTTTTTTTTTTTTTAGTATTTTTACATCTGCATTCACACCTATCCATTTTCTGGCAGATACATTTTCTATTGAAATCTATCACTTTTCAGGTCAACGCGCATGCTTGTTGACATACATCTCAAAGCATGTTATAAAATGCCTTGATGTGTTTTTATGCTTTCCATTTATTTCAGTTGAAACACATTTGCATTAAAGACACAAAACAAATTGGAGTAATACAGCAGGTAAAATAAATTTTAAACATGTCACCATTTTCTCAGTAAATATATTTCTAAAGGTGCTATTGACATGAAATTTCCAACACACATTGGTAACAACCCATGAAATCTATACATACAAAGAAACCAAAACAAATAAGTTCAGAAATTAAGTTATGTGTAATAAAATGGAATGACACAGGGAAAAAGTATTGAACACATAAAGAAAGGGAGGTGCCAAAAGGCATGGAAAGGCAAGACTCCAGCTGAAATCTATCAGTAATTAGAAAGCAATCTTGCCCCTTGTCAGTTCAAATTAATTTTGGCTGGTTCAGTCTCAACTGATGGCCTATAAAAAGGTGTCTCAATACCAAGGTGTCACAGAAGAAACATCTCATTATGGGTAAAAGCAAAGAGCTCTCTCAAGACCTTTGCAAACCTTATTGTTGGAAAACATACTGATGGTATTTGTTACAGAAAGATTTCTAAACTTCTGAATGTTCCAGTGAGCACTGTTGGGGGCCACAATCCAGATGTGGAAAGAACATCATTTCACCATAAGCACCACAACCAGGTGCTCCTCACAAGATGTCTGACAGGAGTGAAAATAATTATCAGACGAGTTGTCCAAGAGCCAAGGACCACTTGTGGAGAGCTTCAGAAAGACCTGGAATTAGCAGCTACAATTATTTCAAAGAAAACAATAAGTAATGCACTCAGCTGCCATGGCCTGTATGCACACTCACCAAGCAAGATTCCATTGCTGAAAAAAAAAAAAAAGCTCGTTTAAAGTTTGCTGCACATTTAGACAAGCCTGTGAAATACTGGGAGAATATAGTCTGGTCAGATGAGAACAAAATTTTACTCTTCGGATGCCATAATACACACCATGTTCAGAGGTCAAATGGCACTGCACATCACCCCAATTACACCATACCAACAGGGAAGTTTGGAGGTGGGAACATTGTGGTGAGGGGCGGTTTTTTAGCATACGGTACTGGCAAACTTCATGTTGTTGAAGGAAAAATGAATGGAAAAATGTACCAAGACATTCTTGATAAAAATTTGCAGCCATCTACCAGGATGATGAAAATTATGGGAATTTCAGAAAGACAATGATCCCAAGCGTAAAGCCAAAGAAACTCTCAATTGGTTTCAAAGAAAGAAAATAAAGCTGCTAGAATGGCCCATCACCACAATCGCCAATTACCTGACTTGAATCCAATAGAAACTCTATGGAAAGAACTAAAGGTCAGAGTTCATAGAAGAGGCCCATGGAACTTTAAGATTTAAAGACTGTTTGTGTGGACGAATAGGACAAAATCACACCTGAGCAATGCATGCAACTAGTTTCAGGGGGCGTCGTGAAGCTGTCATTATCAACAAAGGATTTTGTATGAAGTATTAAATAAATTCAAATTAGCATGTTCAATATTTTTTTTCTCTGTGTCATTCCATTGTATTACACATAACATAATTTCTGCATTTATTTGTTTTGGCTTCTTTGTATGTATGGATTGCATGGGTTGTTACCAACATGTGGTGAAAATTTAATGTCATTAGCACTTTCAGAAATGTATTTACCTTGAGAAATGGTGATGTGTACAATACTTATTTTACCCGCTGTTGTCTGCATGTACATTTATATGACCACTCTAGTACAAGTGGTGTAAACCAGTCCTAAAGATGCTATTTTCATCACTTCCTGATAGTGTGCATGGCTTTTCCTTATCCATCTCCTCCTGCCATGTGGGGTCTGTGGGAAAGTACTAGCCAGCCCTCAATATGTGCAAGTCTCAAAACTGACATGTAACAGAACAGTTATGTGCACAGGGAACGTAAATTGTACAGTACAGCACTGTAATGCTGTAGTCAGTCAAGGAGATTTTACTTTAAAAAGCGGAGTTCCACCCAAAAGGGGAAGTTCTGCTTTAAAGATTGGTCCCCCACTCCCCATTAAGGATTGGCAACTTTGGGAAGCAGGGAGGGGAGCAGGTACCCAAAATTGACAGGTTCCCACTTCCGCTACGATCGCCCAAGCGGTCGGAAGCGGAAGTTGTCCTTCTACCCTCCCTCCCCGTAGTTTTGTGGGACACGTGACAGGTTCCAGAAGATAACAGGGCCATTCAGAAAGCGCAGCGCTACTTGCGCATGTGCAGTGGGCACCCGGCTGTTAAGCTGCAAGCTGTCACAGCCGGGTGCCCACACCGAAGATGCCGGCGCCTGGAATACAGGACAGCCGGTGAAACGGGCTGCAGCGGGGGCACCGCGGGATCGTGGGGCAGGTGAGTGGCTGTTTTTTAAAAGTCAGCAGCTATAGTTTTTGTAGTTGCTGACTTTTATTTTTTTTACAGAGTGAGTGGAACTCCGCTTTAAAGTTTGCTTTAGTAATTGTCATGATGTCTATCTTAATGTATAACAGCATAGTGTTTAGTTTTCCAAAACTTCATGGCAAATATTTCATTCTCAAAAATACAAAAAGCATCTTATCTTACCTTAGCAGTCTGTTTTCATAGTTCATGTAATATATGGTTGCACAGCATAGCACTGTGGCTAACAATGCTCTAATCTTCCATCCTGCAAAGACCAAAACACTTGATGTAAGTTGTAAACTGTGATATAGAACTGGAAAGATAGCTGTAAAGCGGTAATGATAGAACTGTGAGCAATTTCAAATACAAAATGTTACACTGATGCTTACTAATCACTGTATTCACTGTGGAAAACAATATATGTAGCAATGCCCCCATGGGGGCCGCTGGTAATAGCTGGCTCTTTCCAAATAGTACATAGGCTGCCTATCCTCACAAGCACCAGTCCATGCACACTAGATCTAGTAGCTCAGTCTAAGGGATGTCTTTTTGATATTTATTGCTTGAAGAACTTTAAGCAGGAGAGGGATACTCCAGCACGCTTGCACAATAACAGGCGAAAACATAGTTACTCCGGTTGAAAAAAAAAGACACACGTCCATCTAGTTCA